AGATTTGTCGTTTTGTAATGATATCTTTAATTCTCTAATTTTGGTGAATATTTTTGTAATTTTTGGTAAAAAGTGATATTTTCGATTTCTTGTTGAAAACCGCAAGTCCAATTGCTTTGATATTACATATATAGGTACTACATGTGGACCTCTCTCAGATTTGTTTATTTTGTAATGATATCTTTAATTCTCTAATTTTGGTGAATATTTTTGTAATTTTTGGTGAAAAGTGATATTTTCGACTTCTTGTTGAAAACCGCAAGTCCAATTGCTTTGATATTACATATATAGGTACTACATGTGGACCTTTCTCAGATTTGTTCATTTCATGATGATATCTTTAATTCTCTAATTTTGATGAATATTTTTGTAATTTTTGGTAAAAAGTGATATTTTCGACTTCTTGTAGAAAACCGCAAGTCCAATTGCTTTGATATATTATACATATAGGTACTACATGTGGACCTCTCTCAGATTTGTTCATTTTCTAATGATATCTTCTGTTCTTTAATTGCCATGTGCATTGCTAACAGCGGAGCTATCTCAGCCGACAGGCTGCTTGTTTGTGAATTTCGTAGTAGTGGAAACCACAAAATTTGACAGTATACTGAGACGGTTAGCAATTGATTCCCTTACTTTTCTTTATGGTAATTTCAATAAAATAATGTATTTTGAAATCTTAAGCATAGAACCATGATACAACGGACATGAAAAGTATATTTATGAGTGAAAACATTACAATGTGAATAAACATGATACAACAAGCAAATATTTCATAAATACAAGTAACTTAAATTAAAGCTGACGTCAGCCCTACCAGGAAATGTGTTAATTATATGCACTGCGTTTCTGACACTGACTTCACAGTGAAAAAATTAGTTCTGTAATCTGCTCTTTTAGTGGCACAATTGCTTTTGTAAACAACAGAGGTATATCTATCATTTTTTTATTGATATTATATTAGTTAATGTGCGCTTCTAAAGGAATAAATACAATATGGTATTCTTGTATACTATACTATATTGTATTTAAATTCACTGAGTTCTTTCTGTGTAAGCCATTTGTTCTTGAGTTCAAATGGAATGTTAGTTGAGTGAAAATAGTCATTTTGGATATGAATCCATTTAGTTTGGAATCATATAACTTTCTTTGGAAAGTTGAACTTACGGTAATAAGATTCCCCAAATTGCAGACTTCCATCTTATAATTTGTAAAAGTTATTTATATAATAATATAGATATTGAAGAATTGTTTCTCTCCTATGGTTAGATACATTGTAAGTTCTGGGCCATGCCTTGAAGTTGAATAACTGTGTCTAATAACAATAAAGTTCAAAGTTTGATAAGGAAACAATGGCAAAATGTTTTGGGCCTAGATAGTCAGCAATTCTGTTATGTCTACCAAGTACAGTAGTTAAAAATAGATATGTACTAAGAAGAGCTGATTTATCCAGTATTTACTAATGTATACATGTATCTACGTAAATTTTACTACTTTGCATTTTAGCTTCTAGTTCTCTGGTACATGTGGTTATCTATTAAACAATCTACTGCATACATAATTAGGCTAAATATAACATAATAAGTTGGTATTATATATACATGTATGGTATTATTTGTTTCATGAGCAGCTCACATGAACCAAAAATTATATTTAATGTTTAATGTCATTAAAATATGACACAGACATACCTCTTTCATTTGCATATTTAAGCATTTGCCTTCAAATAGAACAAATACAGTGTGCAATTATTTTTGAATTAAAAATATTGCCCCCCCCCCCCAATTTAGTGGGGGGGGGTAATCTATCTACTGGTAATTAGTGATGTTTATGTTTCAAATTGGGGAGATAGCAGAATTTGAAACTGGTTCTGATCCTACAAGATCTTTCTGCCAACACTCAAGAGTGGGTGTCCAATCGGTGCAGGAGGGGCTATTGGTTCTTTGCCTGGTTGCTAGTTCTCTGTGTATGTAAACAAACCTTTGTGTTCCTATAATGACTGGTGGGTCACAACTGGAACTTTTTTGTTTTATGTCAGTCGTGTAGATAGTACTCTTCTCAAGATAAAATTAAAATGGAAATTTTATCAAATATTGGTTGATTTGCATATGAATGAACAGAATTTCTTTGATGCATCCACTTAGAAATTCCTTCTTGTTGAAAGGCCATCGAATGATACACTATATACGGTATATATGTGAGAGAGAATTGCTTGTTCTGTCTATTATAATATAATACATGTTATTGTTATAAATGCGTAGTCTCAATTGTAAATTGGCACAATTGTCTGATACTCATGACCTAACTGTGCCCCTGACTTTCTTTTGTCCCAGGAGAGAAACAGAGAATGAGTTGCATACCAATACCACTATCACTAATTAAGAATAAGAGTACATTCTATATCTCTGATCCAATTTACTATCTTGTCTCACAGTATATATACATGTAGCTATTCATGTGTATCATGGCAATGTTTCACCAGTGTTGCTTTGCTGACAACTTTGCTATGTGTTGAAATGCCCTACCTATTTTATAAAATGATTGATACTGTCACTTGGGGAATTTCCCAAGTGTTTTCGTATCCTTGTTACAGGCATTGTTGTATTTATTTATTTATTTATTGACTTTTTTTTTTCAAATTATATTTTTTTGTAACATTGTTTTATGGTTTGTTTTGAAAAGGACACACTGACTCAGTTAATCTGCCCAGTTTTTATAAACGTGAAACAGCGTTACAGAAATACTGTAAAATGTTTAATTATCCACTGGGTTTTAATTTGGATATTTTACTTGAACACACGGAATTACATTAGGGACGACGTCAAAAGATCAATGTCGGATAAAAAACTTATTTGCTTTAGTTTGGGGTGGGGGGTTTTGACCTCAAAAAGTTTCCATCCTAAAAAAACGATTTTATTTTTTAATGAAGTAAAAAAAACCTTGGAGTATTTATAGTTCGTTTTTCTCTATCCAATCATAGACAAAAATAACAGAAAATGAAAAAAAAAAACATCCAAGACGAGAAAATTTTTTGGTCAGAGTGTAAATATGTGCATCAAATGAGGTCAATTTCAGGGCATGGACCTAGAGCATGCGCAGAACCCTGAAAAGTAGTTTGCGCATGTGTATATTCCGCTTCATTATTACAACCAACTGCTATGCCATACTGCTGTCCGATTATCAATTTGTATTTAGTGAATGTAGTCTGACGCCATGATCAATATTTATCAATTAAGTTTCAGTGGGGAGTGAGGGGGTTTGGGGAAAAAAATAAAAGAATTAAGTTTTTTTATCCAACATCGATCTTTTGACGTCGTCCCTTAGAGCTTCTTTTACTATTAAATTCATGAATTTAAAACCCAGTGGGTATAATCGAAATAGTAAAAAAAATTTGATGATTACGTTGAATTGAAGGCATCATTTCACTTCCTGTTTCCATAAAAAGCAAGAACGACAGAGTATACATGTACCATTAATGTTATTCTTTGTTTTTTTGTTTAGATTTGTCGTTTCTGTTGGCATCGTATCCGTACTGATGAGAATGGTTTGTGTCCTGCATGTAGAAAACCATATCCTGAACACCCAGCAGATTTCAAACCTTTATCAGAGGAGGAGTAAGTGCTAGCTTTGTTTTTTTGTTTACATTTTGATTCCACTGCACACCCCAATCAGTGAAATAACCTACCTGTATTCCAGTAATGTCCATTGAAGCTTAAACCAATGTTTAATGACTGGGCCTTAACTGCTTGTCTGTGCTTCAGTCTGCCATCTGAAACTGAAAAAGAGATGATACATTAATTTTACTTCACACAATGGTGAAATGAACTACATATATTGGTATGATAGAGGATTGACCACTAAGTAATCATTACGGTATATATTTTGAGGCATTTGCAGTACCTACTTACAATCAATCACATGTCATTATTACAAAATTTTGACATTTCGTCAACCATTCTTGGCATGCCTATGCAGATATTATTCTGACTACCTCATGCTTGATGGGTTATTGTTACACGCCAGAATTTTTGTGATTTGATGTAAAATCATGGCCGACTAGTGGCCATGATGTTTTTTTTCAAGTATCTTTAATCATTTCTCGGACATGCGCTGACTGATATAGTTTAAAGCTACTACAATACGTATGCATGTTGATTTGTTTTTTATTTGATGACCTTTGACTCACTAGTAGCCATTTTAGTTGAATAAAACACCTTTCAACGCATCATCAGCAGTTTCCAGGCATGACTTGAATGATTTTATTGAAACTTAGTATGACCATCTGGTGGCCATTTTAAAAACAACGTTTGAAAATCTCATTAATCATTTTTCTTAGCATTTGGTCAATGTTATTAAAACTTGGTATGAACAATCATGCATTATGGGTTGCTGATGCCCATTGTTTTGTTTTGTGTAGTTTGATAAAAAATTGCCAAATGGTGGCCATGTGGTTGTTTAACCCAGCCAGCTTCATATGCGTTTACATTGACTTGACCAGATAAGGGTTGAATCATTTCCAGGGCATGCTTTGATAGTTTTTGTTAGTATGCACATTTTGGCTATTGGTCATTTGTTAGCACTTTTAGTTTAGTTCCATCTTGAATTCTTGTTAATGGGCAAAGTTCTAATGGTTACACTATGTTTAATAAAGAAATCTGGTCAGGTTTTCTAAAACAAGACTTGCATGCTATTTCTTTTGTAGACTACAAAAGATAAAGAATGAAAAGAAACAGAAAGACATGCAACGAAAGCAGAAAATTTCAGAGAATAGAAAACATTTGGCTAGTGTCAGGTGAGTTGGGTGAATTAGCATTTTTTGATTCACACATTTTCGCAAACTTGATGTAAACATATTCCCCCCATGTAGCCGTGAGTGACAGAAAGCCATATTTTTTACCTTGGTCTTACCCTTGATCTGATTGGAAGCATGTGTCAAACATTGTTTGGTAAGTTATTAGTGGTAAGGTGATGGTCGAAGTAGCAAACCTTAACTGGCGATAGTGGACGATAAGCTGCGAGTTGTAGAATGTTGAATGGATGCTAGGACAATACCTGGAACAAAGAGTGAAATAAAAAGCGACTGTATTTGCTTTATTAGTCATGCATGTGCTTATGTAGATGACTAAGGTGTTTCTATAATCAAAATAAGTCATATTTTAATGATCCTGTATATACGAATGCAAATTTGGTTCGTTGGAGCAAAATACAAATTTGATAAAATTACTGTATTGATGCATTCGTTTGCTGCTTTCAAACCTTAAGGCACATAAAAGGAACACTCTTCACATTTTAAGTTTCTGATTATTTTTATTTCATTTTCAGAGTGGTACAGAAAAACCTTGTGTTCGTTGTTGGTTTGTCACAGAGACTTGCAGATCCAGAGGTTGGTAGCTGTTAGCATTGCCATAGATTTTACCAACTGCTAGTTACTGTTGTTGTAATATCAATTTATTTTGCATTTCATCGTAGATTTGACATGTGTACTAATGTACCAACATCATTGAAATCGATTGTATACGTTTGTTTCAAAAAGTACTTGACCGGGTGCCGATATTGTAAACTACATCCAGATTTCAAAATAATAATTTCTAATCAAGATTTAAATAACTTTATATAACAACTTCTCCTTTTTTTATTCGAAACAGATTTTGAAAAAACATGAATACTTTGGTAAATTTGGTAAGATCGTTAAAGTGGTTATTAATCAGAGTACATCATATGCAGGCTCACAGGTATTTAACATAATTATGCGACGGACGAATGTATGACTGTGAATCGGTGTTGTTCATGAACTTGATTCCTTACAAACTCCAGCAAATTTTTTTTGATTGTTGACATTTCTGGCAAACATTTCAAGTTTCTCAGTAGTACATGTGTATGAAAGTTTCCGCCTGTTGTTACAGCAGCTAGTGCTACCTGTTAGATGTCATAAAGCTAATGTTTTTATTTGTATGGTGGAATTATTATAATTTTTTATAGAAAATAATTTAGTAATACAAAAATTGGGTTTGCATGTTCAATTGAAGCCGATCTTACAATTGTGAAGTCTAAACTAAACTAAAAAAAAAAGAAATTGAAAATATTTCAAGATAAGCCACCGCCTTACTTCAGGCCTTAAATAATTATTGTCATGGTTTTATGTAATTGTTGAGTATTATGGAATGTTTGAAGGTCCTTCAGCCTAGAACGTATTTATTTTCTCAAGACAAAAAACTGCTGAAAGTAACTTTCATTAATCTTGCAATGAAATCCATTTTGACACAGTAAGTTGCTGTCCAGTGTACTATCTGTATTTCAAGCAAGGTATTATTTGTGGTAATCACTTGATTTTTTAATTTTCTCTGAAATGGTGTTTCATACAACTGTGATACTCTCAGTCATTATAAATTAGTATTACTGCGACAATTTTTTCAGCATTCTTGATTTAATTTCAGAGAAAGGCTTCAATGTTATACACACTCCTCATGTTATGGTTTTAAAATTGGAAAGACAGATTTGCAATATTTTCAAGCCTCAATTATGTATTTTACGGTGTTTGTCGGTTGAGTTCAAACAATTTCCTTTTTTGTTTTGCATGTGTGTAGTCAAAACTACTAAAAACACATTATTAATATACTCAACAGCAATCATCACGATGGGACATGTTCGATATGGGTTCAGTGCTACATATACATCTGTAAAATACCTTATATACAGTAGATAATATTTGGTAATCGTTGTCCTACATAACTATTCAAAATAAGTTGGTCTTTTGAGCAATGACTTCATTTTCGGTAGCATAGAAGAAAAAGAATACATAGCTCTTGAAAAAAGCCATTGTTTAAGACAATGCGTACCATATGTTATCTTCTATTTATCGGTTCGAGTACCGTTTATCTATTTGCTACTTTCGTAAAACACCATTGATTGTTCATTTACAATTTGTTTTGTAGCGCGTAACAGTAAAAATCTTAAAAATAGGTTTGCGTGTTATCTGATGTGTACTTTTCTCTCCAGGGACCTAGTGCAAGCGCATACGTGACATACCAGAAGTCAGAAGACGCTCTGAAAGCCATACAGGCTGTCAACAATGTCTTTGTAGATGGTAGAACATTGAAAGCATCCTTGGGTACTACAAAATACTGCAGCCACTTCTTAAAAAATGCCCAGTGTCCAAAACCAGTAAGTGTAAATATTTCTCCTGAAAAGAATAAATAAATCTCTGCCTGCTTCAGTGTGATGAAATCATATACATCTTTCTACTTTCAAAAGATAATTTTCTGATCTTGCATTATGCATGAATTTAAATGTAAAAACAAATCAAACAAAGGTGGTAGCGTCTGAGTAGGGTCAAAATACCACATAGATTTGACAGATTAAAAAGTTTTTTTTTTGGTATTTGCACGCTTATCCTTTTTTGCTTGACATCTCAAGTCAATCAGAGATCTTGTTCCCGTTGACACATGCAGTTTGGTGTTATGTTTTGTAGGACTGTATGTATTTACATGAACTTGGTGACGAAGCCGCCAGCTTTACAAAAGAAGACATGCAATTAGGGTAATTATTAGATCTTGTGTATTCCAGTTGTGGGGTCTTGTCACAAAATGGCAGAAAAGCGGCCGTGGTGGTCGCCACTTTATGAACAAAACGAAATAAAATGACAATTGCGACTGAGTACAAGGCAAGCTGCGCAGATTATATTTATCTCTAAGAATCATCAACAAGAACATGAAAAATACAACATGTAATTTATGTCACCAAGCAATGGTTTACAACCTTGGTGGGCTCATGAATCATTACAATGGTTTAAGCACTAAAAGACTTAACAATAAAGTGATACACTTATCTAGAGTTCTTGGCGATGTATGTCTTATTATAATAAGCGATCTTGTCTCTAGATACACGAAGCAGTACGCATCAACGCGGAACGACTGATGAACGTCCGATACACGCATGCATGCGAAAGCAGGTAAACAATGGAGACGGCACATGACCATGAACAATCAACACGATGACACAACACGCGGCACGATGTCAACAATGTTTTATCCGAACAAAGCATGCACACTTGGAACCACAAATAACCCGTTTTCGTTACAGAATCGCAAAAAGTCTGTGTTTGCGAATACCACAAAGCGATATTTAATTACTGCGATTATTTATCTGTCTTCAACTCACTTCCTAACCAACCAACTCGGGCTTTGCGGCTATTTCCCTGGAAGTAAACAGCGATATGTCTCAAGTCAACCACGTCGGAAAACGATGACGTGACCCTTTCCCGATATGACATAAATTAGGGACTTGCCCATGATATAACACACCTGTATTAGTCGTCTGGCACTCCCTGTAATCCAACGCTGTGTCTATGAAGAACTGTCCCATGTAAAAGTGTTGTTCCCGGACAATGAAACTCGACAACTTCTCACAAACTGCCTCACCTTTTGCGTAATACTCGTACACCTGGTGTACTCTCTCAAAAGCTACTCGCGTGATCTCCGAAGATACCCGAAATTTGGCTCGGGGTCGAGGTCACATGTGTTAAAAACGATAGCTGTCACGGTGACAACAATACCAGAAATTTAGTCATGTCAACCTGGTTTCATTCGGAGTTTCATATAAATGTGTAAAGTTACATAAATGATTAAAGCTATTTCTGACAGGTCTCCACCAAATAATCTTCAGTCACTACCATGTATTTTTTATCCAGAAAGCGTTGAAGACCTACTATGCTGTTGCATGGATTTCCTCGAATAGGCACTTCATTCATAAATAAAATAAAATAAAATATGGGACTAAATACAATATATGCTACATGATGTTGTATGTATTTCTGTTTACTCACCGATAAATAGCGATGACCATTTTGTATTAAAATTTATGTATGAGAACCTAAGGTTTCTTCTTTCTTCATTTAGTAATACTTACATAACAAGCACAATGTCAGCAAAATTTTGTTTGACAAGCATGATTTCCTGATTGCTAAAAAAAAAAACATTGACTGACCTTGTTCATTCATTCTTGTGTAATTTCACATCTACCACGGGTTTTTGTTATTACAGCAAGCATCAAGATTACGAAAGAAAATTATTAGAACAATTATTTGGTGGAGGGGTAACTTCTACAAATGATGGACATACTGCGCCTAGGCTGAACACAACAAGGTTTGTCATGTTTATACCTTGGAATAATTTGTTAATATAAAACAAGCTATCAATATTAGTCTGCATGTCATCGGCCTGTGCAAATTCTAAATTCACTTATGGCACAATAATTGATTGATACTTCCTCCTTTCTCATTTACCTTACCCTTTACCACATTGTAGGACGATCCATGTGTCACATGAAACCAACTGTGATTAATTTGAAACTTCTGTTTCATTTCAGCAGGAAAGCTCCTTCACCACCAATAGCAAACACAAATAAAGAGGCATGGCCTTCATTACAAAAATCAACAGAGACAAATAAACAGCCGCCTTCTCCTCCACATCCTCAACTACCACAAGAAATGTCTCCTACGTTGGTGCCAAATGACATAGACGATATAAACCACACAGTAACAGTGGGTTCGCCACCCTGTAATCATCAGTTACCTAGCCCTCGGGGAGATCTTCATATTACCACAAATGGTATCGCAACAACAAATGGAATACGAACAACAAATGGTATTCTAACAACAAATGATACACTCCTCACAACACAGATTCCACCGACGGTGGAACCTTTAGCCAGATCTATAGAACAGAGGATATCTCCATTTAATGGTTTACATACAGACAACTCTTCATCCTTATTTTCGAACACTTTTATGCCTCCACTCAGGCCAGTACCGCCACCGCCAGTTAGTGTGCCAAATGCTAATACGTTGCCGACAACGAACGGTATGTTTTGATGAAATAGGATTTATTCTGTTATTAATTTGTTAGCGTTTGGTTTGATACCACTATTTCCACACATTTGTTCAGTCTGTTACCTGTAGTCCAGTTATTCATAAGTAATCAATCAAAGTTGTCAGCAGTGTTGCACACCATCTTAAAATGTACAGGTACAGTTTTTGGGTAAAATCCTAGATAGACACTACCCAATCACTGGCATGGTTTACATGCAGATCATGGCACAAACATCAGCGACTTTCAAACCATTTGACGGTATAATGGCCCTAAGCACAACTCTCGAAAATCAAATAATTTAATCTGAACTAGGTTCTACTGATCCCAAGAAAAAAAAACTCACAGAAAGAAACATTCAGTTTACTGGATCTATTTTTGAGGGTAACAGAACCAGGAAGTTGTTTACAGGTGGTCTTGTTACACACTCAAGGCAGTCTGAATATGGATTGCAGAAAAAGGTCAATGATTCCAGATTACTGTTGGTAAGCCACAAATGACTCTCCTGATTATGGGAAATGTGTGATTACAAATTTCTTCAAAATTGTCTTAGTTGATTATAATGTAGCATCCAATGACTTACTGTTTCACTTATGGTAGTACATTGATAGTGTCTGGTCTATTTTATCAAGACATTCAATGACCCACTGTTTCACTTACGATAGTACATTGATAGAGCCTGGATCATTTTAACAAGACGTTCAATGTTTTATTGTTTCACTCACCATAGTACATTGTCTTGTTCATTATAACAAGACATTCAATGACTCATTGTATCAATTACCATAGTACATTTATTGTAGTGTTTGGTTTATAACAATAAGAAGTTCAATGTCTCAATGTTTCACCATTGATGTTAATTTTTTACAGACTGGCAAGATAGTATGTTCGGCAATGACACATTACCTATCAGTAGCTCTACGAATTGGCAAGAAGCATTTGGTTTTACTTCAATAAAAGATAAACAAGAAGATGAATTAGGTAAGTTCACAACAGCAGCAGCTCCCATTGTTGTAAATGGCATGCTATAGAGGTCAAAGTTCAAGTTACAAATCGTTACACCCGGACTGATATTTGCATCTTCGCATGAATATTTTAAGCATGGCTGAAAGTTGACATTATGTCATGTTTAAAAGGTAATGAAGAACACTCTCATAACATTATCTTGCCTGTATTATCACAGATGAAGTGTGTATATGCTGTCGTCGTTGTTGCCGTCGTCGTCGTCGTTGACTCTTATTACAATAATTCATACAGATTTTATCCAATCTTTTTCATTAGTATACTGATCTTATTCAATAGTATAAATCAAAAAGAAAATAGTATTCCTTTTCCACTTTTCTTTTTTTTATTTTCTGAGACTTTTGATCTGAAGTTCTTAGGTGTGAAAATAGAAAAAAATTGCTTCTGTTTAGAATTGCTGCAGTTCAGAGTAATGTAGAACAAGAATGAATCCGGGCAAATCATAGAATGCTTCATATAATTTCAACATATTCATATACTCAAATATTTCACATAAATTGACCCCCAATCATAACGAAGTTACTATAAGTAGTTACTATAAATACTTCAGTCTTGTGACAGTTGCCCTTTCAAAACCTGTTATTAGTCCCTGTTTGGACGCAGTCCGAAAACGGGGACTTGTGTTTTGACCTCCGTGCGTCTGTGCCTGCGTCCGGACCTGTATCTTAGAAATGCCTGGACCAATCACAATCAAACTTCACACATACATCATACATGATATTATACATATGCACATCAATTTGGTTCACGATCTGATTCAACATGGCCGAATGGCGGCCATTTTTGTACTAAATAATCCTAAAAATCAAGCATTTCTCGGCTGTTTACAGATGGGTTTTGTTCAAACTTGGTATATACATTAGACATTATAGGACCTTGATGCAAATAATTTTGTATTTCAGATGAGATTCAAAATAGCCGACTGGCGGCCATTTTGTTTTAATGAATGTGGTTATCATGCCATATCTCTGACTTGCTTTCACTGATTATGTTCATAGATAGACAGATATATTGGTTTGACGATCCAATTCAAAATGGCCAAATGGTGGCCACTTTTGTGCTAAAAAATTTGTGGATGGATTTCGTTCAAACTTGGTACATATATTAGACATTACAGGTTCCTGATGCACATCATTTATTTTTCAGATCGGATTCAAAATGGCTGTCTGGCGGCCATTTTGTTTTAATAAATGGGCTTCTAGACCCATATCTCAGACTTGTTTTGACTGATTGTATTCAAATTTTATATATTTGTTATACATCATGTTATATATATACATGTATTCAAAATGGCTGATTTTGAATGCTGTTCCAGAGCAATATCTCTCAATATGGACAAGTACCATCAGACGCAAATGTCAATCATTTTAATGTTAAAAAATCATATTGCTGACATGGTTATATTTCAGCTATATTACTATAAACAAAACTATATATCTTAAATTTGATAACTAACGGGGACTGTGCCATGCATGGCTTGTTGAACTGTGTTTTGTTTTGTCAACAGGGTTTGACCCCTGGGATGAATCTTCTAAAGGTTTAGCAGAAATTATGGAAAAAGAGCTTCAGCTAAATTCAACAGAAAACAACAGAGCATCTCCAGAACCAGACAGAACACAACCTCCACCTGGATTTAATAATCATGTTGATGCTTTTCAATCTGCTCCCACGCCTGTTCCTTCACAGAGACCACCATATAGGCCAGGTAAGGAAGTCATATTGCTGGTAGTTTAAGGTATTCAGAAAAACTGTTTCCCTTGTAACATTGTAATATTCTTAGGAACATGTTTGTTTGGACTTTGTTACTTTCCATAGTGCACCACTCACTGGATTTTATGATTTCTACCCAGGGTGTGAAAACAGTGGTTAACTATAAAATCCACACTAAATTTTTCATTTTAATCAATGTAACCCAAGTGTTAGTTTGTGGGAAAATGATAATGAGATGTCTGAATAGCCTCATCCATATTCAAATTACAATCAGAATCAAATTTCCTTTCAAATTTGAGTAAAACCAGAAATAATGATTTGTTGGAACTTTCCGATGATTGAATTCATAACAAACACCAGTGGCAAATGTTACAATGCTGTAATACTATAACCGTAATTAACAGTTTTCCTTATCATCTTTTTATTGGTGCCCACAATGTTATTTTCGACTTCACAAGTCTGATTGCTTTGATATTTTACATATAAGTACTTCAGGTAGACCTCGCTCAGATTTGTTTATTTCATGGTGATATTTCTCAAGTCTTCAATTGAAATGTGCATTGCTAAAAGCAGAGCTATCTCATCCAAAAAGCTGTTTGTTAAAGAAGATGGCATTCCTACATGTGATACAAAAAAAAAGAATATTATCTCTCGTTTAATGTTATTTTATAGCTATGTGACTATTTGTCCATTTTTTTTGCTTACTTGTTTTTAAAATGATCTCAATATATTTTATATCAGATTTAGTAGGAAGTAAAATGATGTCATGGATGCCACACACATACACACAGCCTTCCAATTCAGTGGTAAGTCATTACGTTCTTTGTGTTCTAGTTGAGCATTTTGAGTAATAATAATAATCCACTTCTTGGATCGTCACAGTTTTAAAGTTTTAGACCCTGTGTTCAAACCCATACCCATCTCTGCACAATTCTTAATTGGCTTATTAATTATTATTTGTTTTGCTTTTCAGCAGCATTCATCAGAGCCTAGAACAGTAAAAGATTGGCAAGATGGTCTCAGGGCTCTCCTTCCCAACATAAATATCAGCTTTGGCCAACAGGGTCTGTCAGTTCCTCCACAAAAAGGTAAGGCCCTTTAGGACCATAAAAAATCTGATTAGCCTGAGCTCGAATGACCAATCTACACCACAATGTTTGATGTCTGCATAAATTTTGACAGAGAGAGAGAGCGAGAGAAGTTTGTCAGTCGAAATTATGAAATTTTGCAGCTGTGAAAATTTAACTGAGATTTAAGAGACACCTAGTCGTTCATTTTCACGAATTTTGTCAAATCACAAATTTTTCTAGCAGTGGAAATTAAATGGTTAAAAGTATATGAAATGAATGAATTGGAGTAATTATAACTCATGTTTTATAATTAGTCCCCGTTCGGACTCCGTCAGTCAGTCCGTCAGTCTGGAGTCGTATTTCAGAACCCTTTGGACCGATTCTGTTCCTTCTTTGCATGTGCCTAGTACTTTATGTGGGACATATGCACATGTAGTGGTTTAGTGGTTCGATTCAAAATGGCCGACTGGCAGCCATCTTGTTTTTTGAAAATGTCGTATTTTTTACATGTTTTGTCAGTTTTCACTAAAATTTGGTACATAGATTATACATGTTAGGATACATGTCCATGACAATTTCTTTTGCAATTGGATCAAAGATGGCCGACTGGCAGGCATCTTGTTTTGTTTTTTATGTTTGGTATCTTGGACATGCTTTGTCAGTTTTCATTCAAATTTGGCACATACTTTATACATGTTAGGATACATGTCCAGGACAATTTGTTTCAAAATCGGATCAAGGATGGTCGATTGACAGCCATCTGACTTTTTGGCCTTACTACTGTATTTCCAAGATTTGTGTACCATCATCATACGTATTTGGCACATACATGTCAGTTTGTTTCATAATCAGATCAAAGATGGCTGAATAACGGCTGTTTTTATTTTTGGCCATATTACTATATCTCTGTCACTCATGTATCATTTTCATTGATATTTAGTATGTCATAAATGGATACATGTACATGTCAATTGAATTTGCAATTTGATCAAATAGGGCCAACTGGCGACCATCTTGTTTGTTTAAAATGTGATAACTTGGACATGCTTTCACTTTTGATCTATGTTTTTCTCTGCTGTCTTAAACCAGAGGGGTCGTCACGCAACATGTGTTCCAATTTGATGTGAATAAATAATCCGTTGTATATGCCACTTGAGACTCAAGATTTCAAGGACATGCACGCGACAATCCCTCCGCTTTAATATGACGAGCACAAAGAGACCTTTCAAAAATGTTACGTGGACTATGTCATTTTCAATGACTTGTTTAATGTAATCTTCATTATTTTCAGATAATTGGAATTCAGCCAGTAATCAATCAAATTGGCCCACATCAGATCCTGCAATTATTACAAGTATTACAGTGTCTTCAGCTCCTTCAACATCTTACACAAATGCTAACTCAGACAGAGAAAGTAAGTACACGTAACAATATTTCAAACGTCTATCTTGCATTGTGAACCTAGAATACAACACTGTATGGTGTGATGTTGAATCAAGAGATTTAACTTAGTTTATTTTCGTCTAGCACAGACTGCTCCCTGTAAGTAGTTGATGCTCTATCTTGTCGTTACAATTACACATTACAATACTGTGCACTGCTACAGTTTATTCTCATTGGTTGATTGGTTACACATGCTGTCCCGTTATCAGATAGTCACTGTTTTACATGTATAATGATTCAGTTTACAAAAACGATGATTGTTAGTTTATATGTGCTTTTATTGGATTTGTGCTTCTAATAAAGCAAATGCGTAATATGACAAGGCTGTGTGATCATCTTCTTATCGTAAATGTATTGAAATAAACTGCCAAGCCTGGGCCTGTGACCACGACAGTCAAACCTGTTAATATCGGTCACCTGCAAAGAACGGTCACCTTTGTTTATCGGGTGCATTGTATCAGTCTCTTGCAGTTTGCTTTGTAAATGTCACTGGGTAGAGCAGCCACCTGTTTAATGTTGTCAGCGGCCATGTTAAACTGTGTTAATTGGCCCCTGTTATTATCAATACCTGCCACTTGCTACTGTAAACACTGAATAAAAAAAATCAACAAAAGCTGAGAACAAAGAATCAATTAAGTTAGGGGACATATGGCATGTGTCCTGGTCTTCAGTTGTTATGTTACAATGATGTATTTCACACTGCTATCTAGTTATTCAAGTGATGAAGACTGACGAGACGACTGACGAGCAATGCGATTTGTCTGGATCTTTGACAAAATATCAACTTTATTGTCTGCCACTATCAACGGCCAACAAAATCGACTAATTGGACATTCAGAGATCATCTGTTACTCCGACTGGAAAAGTTACTCAATACAAGTTTCATTTCTTCCGGTTATAGGTCATTGGACATGGATGTCACAACACACGTGGTGCTATGTTAATCATATGCTAATTAGCAATTTCAATGGCGGCCCCAGGCATATAAACAATGTTTATAGTTCGTTCATTCAAATCATCATTTTCTGATGTTATCATTATGACCTGTAATTCCTAAAAAACTTGATCTTAACAAGAAAATAAAGGTGATTAGATGTTCTAAAGCGAGTGGTGGTATGGGATCACGGTAATTGGCCGAAAAGTTTAGTGTTGGCAGAAAAGAAAACGGAGTTTCAGACGACAATGAAAATAGACTTGGCAAACAGAAAAGAAAAATTCAGAAGAGAACAAACTGACATGGGAATGGTTTAAAAATGCTATGGCTAGAAGAATCTCACTTAGCTGCCCCATGATGCAAATGTTTTATCATTTGCTAAAGATCTGAAATTCAACAATTTCAAGGCTTTCAACAGGTGGTTGGACTTATAGGAGACACTACGACATTGGCTTCAGTACTATGACCGGTGAAAGTGGCGATGTCAATAATGATGTTATGCAAGACTGGAAAAGAAAACTGCCAACGGTCATTGAGAACTACGATAGTTAAAGACATTTTCAATTTAGACGAGACAGGGCTTTTTTTAAGGTGTTGATGAACAAACCTTTGTTTGTAGAAGGTGAAGATGCAAAGGCAGAATGATATCAAAGGAATGACGAAGACAGACTTGGTGACTTGCCAGTTTGAAATCATTTACACAATGATACATATCGATGTGGGTGTTGCATATATATTTTATTTGTAAATAAAGAGCAATTTTACATCATATGTGCATTTATTTCACATTTCCATCTACCACTATTCCTATTTAATTTATTTATAGATGCCCCTCTCCCAGCCACTATTTGACTTGAAATATGCCCTATAGTGGCCACTTTGGCTCAATTCCTTGGGTGACCATTATAGACAGGGTTGACTGTACAAATACTGGTGATTTGCAGCAATTATATTAAAATTTTAAAAACTTATTTTTAGCTCCGCTGTCGACTTTGTCGAGCGGAGCTTATCATATGAATGATTGTCCGTCGTTGTTGTCCGTGTCAATGTTTTACTTTTTCGACTTCTTCTTGAAAACTACAAGCCTGAATGCTTTGATACTTGGTGTATATGTACCTTGGGTAGACCTCTCTCAGATTTGTTCATTTCATGATCATATCTTCAATTCTCTAATTTTGGTGAATATTTTTGTTATTTTTGGTAAAAAGTGATATTTTTCAACTTCTTGTTAAAAACCGCAGGTCCAATTGCTTTGATATTACATATATAGGTACTACATGTGGACCTCTCTCAGATTTGTTCATTTTGTAATGATATCTTTAATTCTCTAATTTGGGTGAATATTTTTGTTATTTTTGGTAAAAAGTGATATTTTCGACTTCTTGTTAAAAACCGCAAGTCCAATTGATTTGATATTACATATGTAGGTACTACATGTGGATCTC